TTGACTAAGCAATTTTACTTCTAGGTAACCAGACATACATGCACTCTCTCATGGAGAAAAAGGATTTATTTCAGCATTGTTAGGATACCATATGTTAAATATGCATATGCTTAGTCAAATATTTAATTAAATTATATTCTCTCACATACATAAATTTGAACTTGTGTACTGCAGTAAAAAAAATTGTATAGGTAAAAATTACATTTAAAAGTGAACTGTTGAATGATGTTTATGACATAACATCACATATGTTAAAACTTACACAACAAATATTTTATAGATGTGTATAAACTATGAAGATAGTCAACAATCTTCAAACAGATGTTAAAACTTGGGAAGGGATAGGAACTGGGAATTGATCTCTTGTGGTCAAGGGGAATTGATTTATTGAAATTGATTACATTTTTAAAATATCAGTATGTATATATTTGTAGAATTATAAAAACACTAGCAAGTATTCATTCACCATCATGTCTTCAAGGTCACGTTCATAACAGTTGCTCTGCAAAGTGCTTTTTTCTTCTCCTTCAAATGCCTCTCTCTTGCCTCTTGTTCCTGATTTCTAGCTGATTCTTTTGTTCCATGAATATTTATTATCATCATCACTGTTAAGAATTTTTATTTGTTATTACCATTATAAAGTGGTAGTATTTGTTACTATTTCTGATTATTCATTATGAGATCAACACAGTTAATTATGATGATAATAATTATCACAGCTATGACTACTGTGCCCCTGATGCTTTATATAATTCACTCAATAAATTCTCACAATAGCTCAATGAGATTTTTCAAAGTTGAAAAACTATACTTCATCTTCTTATGAAGATGAAGACAATTGCACAAATTATGCAGCAAGTTGATAGAAAGACTAAGGACAGGGCCCAGTCAGCAAGTTTACAGTTCATCTGGCAAAGACAAGCTAATTGCCTGACTGCATGCAATATTTTGAGATCCATTTTCCTTAAAACTTGCATGGCTTCAGTATATTCTTTAGCCATCAAAATACATGTATTGGGCTGGGGATATAGCTCAGTTGGTAGAGTGCCTGCCTTACATGCACAAGACTCTGGGTTCAATCCCTAGCACCACAAAAAAGAAAGAAAGAAATACATGTGTAGTCATTAAATTCTGTTTTGTTCAGTAATGTACTTGTGCAGGTTAATATTATCTTTTAATATGGGAACTCTATAAAAACATAGGTTTGAAGTAAGGAGAGCCAGAAGGTCAATGGTGTATTTAATTAGGTAAGAGCCATCAAACTATTCACTGGAATCTGTTTGAAGTGAATCAGAGACCTCCCCTTCATAGTTCTCTCATCTTTCAGGGACAAGACAGAACAGGAACATGCCACTAATTCTAGCACAGGGTAATTAGTGCTTTAAAATCAGCTGTGGCCATCTCTAGACATCTTTAGTGCTATGAGTTAACTCTGCCAAGGAATTAGGGTTTAAGAAAGATGTAGTAATTAGCTAGGTTTTTCGTAAGGAGTGATTAGGAAATTTCCAGGCGGATATGGAGCAAGACTGCTCTTTTTTAACATGGTGTCAGAGGTGGAAAGTGATGTTGTAATCCTTATGCAAGCTATGATGAATATATTTTCTTATAGTCAAGAGATCTATTGCAAAAAGTGAATTTGTGAAACCAAGACAAAAAGAGACATTCAATAGGACATGTACTCAAAATATGATTGTGCTCAAAACTCTTCAGATTTTCAGGCTCCACCCACTTTCTAGTGTCAGATGGCAGGTGTGTGTATGGCCGGGTGTCATTCACCAGGAATCTAGTGTCTTCACAACAGGCTGGAGGAAGGAATCACATTTTGACTCCTTTTTTTCTCTCCATAGCTGCCTGTGGCCCAAATATGCTACATCCTCCTTAAGTCTGAAGACCCTTTCTCTTTGTAACAAAGACTATGACAATAGGATTATCCCCATATTGGGGTTAAAATTTCTGGCTCAAAAGTTCTCTTTTCAGCTATGGAGAAAATTTTCCCCCAGAAAAGAACTTTCCTAAATCTGAAGCTGATCCTCAGACTTGGTCTCAGGCCCTACCACACGTGGCCACCAGGGGCCGCTGTTCCTAGAGAGGGCGTAATCTCAGTAACCATATCCTGCTGTTTCCTCTAAACTAAGTGGTTGCTCTCATATTCAAAAAAAAAAAAAAAAAATTAAAGGGCGACTACTTTTATATATGTTTTTGCAAAACCTAGAAGTTTTATTCAACTTGTACTTTCTATATGTGCCTATATGGGAAACTTCAAGCCATAAAGCACGACAGAAAAGGAAGCAGCTGTGTAAGACTGCCTGCACAGGTGAAGAGTGAAGGATGAGAATGGCCAGCATTTCTACCTTGGAGAAGGAAACTACTGCAATGTGGAAGTAAGAGAACAGATCCAGGAAAGCAGCAGATGCCCGGAGCGTGCTGGGTTTCAGAATTAGTAAAATATAATATGTCTTTCCCATTCAACCCCAAGATTCCTCAAAATACCTAATTCTGATTCAAGCCCCTGTGCTGACTGAATATGTCAGACATACTTTTTAATATGATGTAAAACTATTTTTTTAGTCTTGAAGATTCTTACCAGAATTCAAGTGAAAATACACACACACACACACACACACACACACACACACACACTTGGTCATCCAGCTATGGAGAAAAAGATGGTACAGTTTTTACACTATTTGACAGAAAAAAAAAGAAATGTAATATTCTCATGTAGATTTACATTGAGAAAATAAATACCCATATTTATTAGCAGCTAATTCTGAAGAAGGAACTGTCCTAAATGGTTTTAAATGCACTCATATTTTGTATTCCATTTACCATTTGAGAAAACTGAAGCTCTAGGAAGTTGAGTTACCTCTGAGAAAAGGAGTTCCATGCAGAATATCACAGTCACATATGATTTTTAATATGTAAGATTTCTGTGATTGCTTTGAATTTGTTTTCGTATTTTCAGAATTATTCTTCCTTATTGTTGAAGGGCTTGTATTTTTGGTGGCGACATTTGTATTTTCTGCTGGTTTTAGTTTACTTTTTTGTTCTTTACCTTAAATTTTCCAGAAGGAAAAAAATCTCTGATCCAGTTCCACTTTCTATCTGATGAAAGAAGTTTTTTGATTTAGTTTTAAATTGATGTTGACCATTATAGGACAATTCTAAAGTTAACCAGAAAATACCAGAGAATATAAAGGAAAATTTCATACATTATTAGCCTTACCAAAAAAAATGTACTATATTATAAAACAGCAACAAAATAAACATGGTGACAGTGAGGAAAAGCAAGTGGCCCAATAGTAATAAAAAAATTAATCCCAGAAATTGTTGGATTATATGTACTAGTTAAGTTTAGAATTAAGGGCATTTTAAATGGTAATAAGGAAGATAAATTTTAATAAATGGTAAAAAGATAATTCCTGGTAATCTAGACAAAATATCAATTTAGACTCTCATAGATAGATGAAAAAATATAATTTAACATAAAAGTAACTTTGAAAAATTTAAAATATAAAAAGGAATTGATAATTTGTAAGTTCAACAGATCATGAGAATGGGGATTTGTTCTATATGCTCAATATTCTGGCACTAGGGGAAAATATAAAGAAAATGAACAGTTGTTAGCAAACATAAAATTGACAGAGTGCATCACAGAAATATTGCTACCATCTGCATAAAAGGTTTATATTCACTTTTTAATAAGGAAATATAAAAGCGTAATCTATAAGAATAACACAAAACTACAGTTAATGTTATTAACATAAAACCCAAATAAAGAGAATTAAAAATTGAAAACAATAAAATGCCAAGTGTTGAAACCCAATAGTATCTAAGAACTATTGAACAACTATTGGACATTTTACTCTGTTAATCACATTAATAGATATTTTAACCTATTTTATAAAAGAAATAAAATGCTGATAGTATATGCTTGTACAACATTTATTCCTTGCAATCTATCCTTTAAGAAAAGTTTGTAAAAAGGTTACAAAATTATATCAATAATACTACACACATTTTTTCCCTACGAGCTACCCTATTTCCCTTTCCTTTCATAGATAACTTCTCAAAAGAAATTTCTATCCATTTAGTCATTAATATCTTTCCTCTTGTTTACCTTAGTGTATTTCACCCTGAATTCTGCTGAATTAAATCTGTCAAACTAGTCTCTGCTTTTTCTAAATATAAGACATCATATCTTGAAAACAGCTCTTCATAAAGCACCTCTTATCATTACTTTCTCCTGGCTGCTCTCCTCTTATGCTACCATTCTGTTTCAGTGAGCTTTGCAAATTTTCATTCACTTTCCTATATTTCAAAATGAAAGTCCCCAAGATTCAGGTTTTGATCTTCTCCTCAATCTCTACTTACTTTCTATGAGACTTCATTCATTCCCCCAGATCCATAAATTAATGTCTCTAGACAAAGCACTCTCTAAATTCCCCAACTATATGTTCAATTGTCAAGACTGAGTCTCTGCATCTTCAGTTTCAGATGACAGAAGACCTTTTCGTAGGCCTACAAAGTTAGCATATAATGAAATTAAAATTAATTGAGTAATATGTTTATTTCTCCTTCAAAAAAAGAAGAAAAGCTCAAGGAAGAGGAAAATTCCAGAAGAGCTGAAATTGTTTTCTTTTACCCCAAAGACAGTCGTACAAGTGTTACTTGTAAGAAATTAATGAACAAACTAAATTTCCTTTCTTCACTTTAGGATGTAAAATCAGCCCTCTTATTCAGTTGTCAAGAATAGACAAATGCAAAAAGACATGAAAGTAATACTTCAAATAATAAAGAGAAAAATTTGAAACAATAAAGATGATGCTTTTATGTAATTAATACAAAGGTAAACATGATATCATACATGCGAAAACACTGAAATACAATAAATGCATCAGAATCAAGAGCTAAGTACATGAATAAATTAATAATGTTATCTATGTTGGTCTGATGATGCTAAGGACTGAATGCTTTAACACAGAGTTAATACCACCAACTGTTGTGATAAATTTTATTCATTTAATTTAATGATAAAGTCAGAAAAAACAGTATTTTGAAATGACTAAATGTGGGAGTATGAAGTATATCTGTCCCTAATAATCCTTAAGATCTGATTCCTGAGCTATTAAGTCTTATGGACTGTCTTTGGAGAAGACATGTGGATTTCTTCTTCCTTTTCCTGATGGAGACTGATTCACAGCTAGTAAGGAGTCATTATGGCTCAAGAGAATCCTTCCACCCTCAACTCCTGCACAAGCAGATCTCCAGGACTTCCCAATATGGAATTCTCCAGGCCAGTCATTTCAAGCAACCTCTTGGGCTGAAAAGGTTGAAGATCTGCAGGAGCATCTTGTGGTGGTCTAAGTCTTCTGGACCTTGCTGACATCTACCAGAAACAAAAGGGGAAAAATGGAAATTGAGTAAATGTTCATCAACAGGAGACTGGTTAAATAATTTATGGCACAGTCAGTAGACAACAACACAATAGTTTAAAAAAACACACACACAAAAAAAGCTCTGTGTATACTAATTCTGGAAGATCTTATAGTAAACAAAGTAAGGTGCAGAAGAGTATGTATATGGTATGCTATTGTTTCCATAAAAATGAGGAAGTATAATAAAAATATGTAACTGTATTCTTGACCTTTACATGGATTTCTATACATGTAAAGAAACTTCAGAAAGATTGAAAACAGTAATAAATTCAAACTTTGGAAATGTTGCAAAAACACTGTGTCCAAGTATACATTCATTCCTATGTCAGAACTTAAATTTGCTCATAATTGAAGAAATGCAAGTTAATAAAATATCCACAAAGAGAAAAACAGCAGATGGAAAATGCACAAATATTGTCAGTGATGATATTTTGGAAATATTGACTGAATATTCTATAAAATGCTATCGAAAAAAGTTAAATTTAGAGTCCCAATTCTAGAAACATTATAGATTCTATAAAACAACCAAGGACAAGTAAGCATATAGGAAGGAACAAATAATAGGCGGAGTAAATTACAGTACACAGTAATTGGAAAATTGTATAGCCATTGAAAAGTGGTGAAAGGAAAACAAAAGCATTAGAAATTATTTAAGATGGCAGGGCTTTGCACTGCAAGCCAAAAATCTAGAATGTATTTACATACTATGACTACAATTTGGTTGAAAGATAAATACTGTTTTTTAAGTGAATTAAAAAATTTGGAAAATATGAACCAAAATTATAATTAAAGTGATTATGAATTAAATTGCGTGGGACAAAAATTATGAAGTGTTTTATGGAGAAATAAATGTAAGCATCCTCTTGCAACTTCCTCCCCTTCCGCCAGATTTCTTCTCAATTTGTACAAAAGCTGCCCTTTATTGTTATTTAAAGGCAGAAGCCAAGAAGTGTAAATCTTAAAGAAAAAGCATGCACTTGGCAAGAGAGAAGGGCTCAGACACCTAGAAAACTAGCAAAGGCGCAGCCTAAAGTACACGCAGTCACTCAGAGGCCCAGGCTCTCTCACAAGCTGGAGCGCTCCGACGCTGGCCGTCCGCCCACCCAGCATCACTTCCTCCCCCCCAGCCCCGCCCCGCCCTCCCAGCCTTCCGCGCACTCCCCGCCTCCCGCGCACTCCCCTTCCCCCACTCTCGCCCACCAGCAAGGCCTGGCAGCCGCGCAGGCGCAGTAGCAGTGCAGCCGCTCCTAGCCCGGGGGATCCTGGGACTAGGCCTTTCCGGAAGGACCGGCTTGGTGTAAGGGATTAGGCCCGTGTTCCAGACCCAGGTCCAGGCCGGTGTTCCAGGCCCTTGCTTGAAGATACGCTGGTGGCCGCGGTGACGCTCCAGTGACAACGGAAGGCGCAGCGGGCCGCTCGCTGAGGTGTCCGGCCTCGCCACCGACGAGCCTCGGAGACGCAGTACGTGGCAGCGCCTCCCCCTTGGCTCCCGGCGCAACTGTTGAAGGCGCGGCGGCTCAGGCCGCACGAGGTGAACCGGGTCATTTAACTGGCTTCAGGTGATGAATCATCAACCTAACAATCAGATTTGAGGTCCACAGCTCATTGTGGTCCTGCTTCAGGACAGTTTTCTGTGGATGAGTGACTGGTGTGTCCGGAGAGGTGCCGCAGTGACTGCTTGCCCTTGATTAGGAGAGCGAGCTTGCCTGCTCTTTGGACATACTCGTTTCCTGTAAAACGTTCAGGTTCTAACTTCTTTGTCTGACATACATCTCCGTGCACGAGCAAGGCTTTCACATGAAAGTGTCCCTTGGTAACGGAGAAATGGGCGTCTCTGCCCACTTGCAGCCTTGCAAGGCTGGAACCACACGATTTTTTACCAGCAATACTCATAGTTCGGTGGTATTGCAAGGCTTTGATCAGCTTAGAATAGAAGGATTGCTTTGTGATGTGACTCTGGTACCTGGTGATGGAGATGAAATCTTCCCTGTCCACAGAGCTATGATGGCGTCTGCTAGTGATTATTTCAAGGCAATGTTCACTGGTGGGATGAAAGAACAAGATTTAATGTGCATTAAGCTTCATGGAGTGAACAAGGTTGGTCTGAAAAAAATCATTGATTTTATTTATACTGCAAAACTTTCTCTTAATATGGACAATCTTCAGGACACACTTGAAGCTGCCAGCTTTTTACAAATTTTACCTGTTTTGGACTTCTGTAAAGTCTTTCTTATATCAGGAGTTTCTTTAGATAACTGTGTTGAAGTTGGACGAATTGCTAACACCTACAATCTTATAGAAGTGGATAAATATGTTAATAATTTCATCCTGAAGAACTTTCCTGCTTTATTGAATACAGGGGAATTTCTAAAACTCCCTTTTGAACGGCTTGCCTTTGTACTTTCCAGTAATAGTCTTAAGCACTGTACTGAACTTGAACTCTTCAAGGCTGCCTGCCGCTGGCTGAGGTTGGAAGATCCTCGAATGGATTATGCTGCAAAATTAATGAAGAATATTCGATTTCCACTAATGTCACCACAGGACCTCATCAACTATGTGCAGACAGTAGATTTCATGAGAACAGACAATACCTGCGTGAATTTGCTTTTGGAAGCCAGCAATTACCAAATGATGCCATATATGCAGCCAGTGATGCAGTCAGACAGAACTGCCATTCGGTCTGACTCCACCCACTTGGTTACATTAGGAGGAGTTTTGAGGCAGCAGCTGGTTGTCAGTAAAGAATTACGAATGTATGATGAAAGGGCACAGGAGTGGAGATCTTTAGCTCCCATGGATGCTCCTCGTTACCAGCATGGCATTGCTGTCATTGGAAACTTCCTCTATGTAGTTGGTGGTCAGAGTAATTATGATACGAAAGGAAAAACTGCTGTTGATACAGTTTTCAGATTTGATCCTCGGTATAATAAATGGATGCAGGTGGCATCATTAAATGAAAAGCGTACATTCTTCCACTTGAGTGCCCTCAAAGGACATTTGTATGCAGTTGGTGGGCGCAGTGCAGCTGGTGAGTTGGCCACAGTAGAATGTTACAATCCACGAATGAATGAATGGAGCTATGTTGCAAAAATGAGTGAACCACACTATGGCCATGCTGGAACAGTGTATGGAGGCTTAATGTATATTTCAGGAGGAATTACCCATGACACCTTTCAAAATGAGCTCATGTGTTTTGACCCAGATACAGATAAATGGACACAGAAGGCTCCAATGACTACAGTCAGAGGTCTGCATTGCATGTGTACAGTAGGAGACAAGCTCTATGTCATTGGTGGCAACCATTTCCGAGGAACAAGTGATTACGATGATGTTCTAAGCTGTGAATACTATTCACCAACCCTTGACCAGTGGACACCAATTGCTGCTATGTTAAGAGGTCAAAGTGATGTTGGAGTTGCTGTTTTTGAAAATAAAATCTATGTTGTTGGTGGATATTCTTGGAATAATCGCTGTATGGTAGAAATTGTCCAGAAATATGACCCAGAAAAGGATGAGTGGCATAAAGTTTTTGATCTTCCAGAGTCACTTGGTGGCATTCGAGCTTGTACCCTCACAGTTTTTCCACCTGAAGAAAACCCTGGGTCACCTTCTAGAGAATCGCCTCTTTCAGCACCATCAGATCATTCTTAGATCCAAGGTGTAATACCTTTGCAGTGCATCATGGATGCTGACATACTTCCCTTTAATTGTATCTTATAATGATTGATACAGTTATTTGACAAAAAAGGTAACTTATGTTATTTGTCTTGTTTGGCTTAGTATGTTTGTCAAATGGTTAGCAAGTGCATTCTGAAAATGTATTCAGCACATCCAGCTGTTTTAACACCCGAAAAAAAACAACATAGAAAAATGTTAAATTAGATGTATTTTTGTGGTGTTACATTAGTTAAATTGTAGGTCACTGTAGTAAATGTATAATTATGCCCATTGTACTTCAGAGTTGTAAGTTTTCATCTGACTGAAAACATCAGAGGGAAGCCACTTACTCTAAATTAATACACAAAACGTTGTCAAGTGTTGTTAGCTTCCTCTTTGCATGGTTTTTGGCATATCAGTCAACTGTTCAGGTTGGGTGGTTGTATTCCGAATATAATTTCTTAGGCAGACAGAAGAAGTAGTAAGTAAAAAGATTTACCAGAAGAAGTAGCACTAAGTCAGGATTTGGAATCTATAGAAAAAGAAAAGGAGATTAAACACAAACATGCACACACACATTCATGCATATTTGTATAAATACACACATAGAATTTTGCGTATGTAGAAAAAAATTAACACTTAAACTATAGTAAAATTGTTCTTAATATTTTTTTTATTTCACACAGTAGCAGTTTTTATTTAAATGGGAATTCGTTACCACAGAATGTTGTCATATATAGCAGTAGATAGCTAAGGGCTACAACGTATTAAATTGGCAACCAGATTTATCATTAAACTTAACTGTTACTTCAGATGAAACTTACATTTTCTGCTTGTATATATATATATATATATATATATATTTTTTTTTTTCCTGTAGAGTTGCTTTTATACTGATTATTTAGTAAAAAATGTTTTCAGATTTTGCTTGGTCAGTTGAACTCTGCTTTCTTCTATCTTTTCAGTAAAATTTATGACACAAAAAAAGCAAAGATGGAAGGATTCTGTGCAGCTATAGGATTTTAAATTCAGTCTCCCAACTTAGTCATTCTGACAGGATTATTTTGTAATTTGGGTTGATTGTCCTGGTGCTGCTCTGTCCCATGTGCATATTGAGCTGTGTGATCTGCCTCAAGGCTGTGGTCTGAGCAAGCAGGAGATACACTCTCTTCTGCATCAAATCAGAAAAATGTCCTTTCAGCTATGTCTCAAGGACAGGACCAACTTCAGATTCCCTAAGAAGCCATCTACAGAAAGTCTAATGTAAAAACACTATTGCCTTGCAAGAGGCAGACCTAAACTAGATCTTTAATATCAAAGAGTATACCAACTAGTTGAGATTACATAGGGAAATTTTAATAGGACTTTACCAACAAGTGGAATTATAAGAGTCCTCTGAAATCAGTGATTCTGAAGTGCTTTCCTGAAATAATTGTCTACTTGAAGAAAAAAAAATTATATAGATAGACCTAAATATCTGTATCTATATAGTCCTATAGCTGGGAGTTATCAGGGTATAAACAAGAACAATTTTCTCTTTATTGACGATTCCATAGTAAAACTCAGGAAACAAAGCAAAAGGAATTGGCTTCCAGGGATCTGAACATTACTTACTGCCCACATGAGTTGATCCATTTTAATGTTTTTTATGATTTCTGCATTAGCAGAAATTTTCATATTTTCTATTTTTTTTATGACCTAGTTTTTTATTACTAAAATAGCACATTTCAGTACATTTAGAAAATAGAAAAAGTAGAAATTGCTGTAACTTTGTGTATTGAATAAGCAAGAAATGGCATCCCAATCATTTCTTTGATTATTAATGAGAATGAATATCTGTGTATTTTGGGTAGCTATGTTTCCTCTTTGGTCAAATGTTCATGTCCTTTTTTTGATATCTATTGGAGTTGCTTTGTTTTTCATACCAAGTTACAGGATCTCTTTATATAATAAATAGAATTTAACTGGCATTTGCTTGCATTAATTTTTTTCAATCTATTATGGTTTAAAACAACTTAGGTCCATTGAGTTAATATTTGAGATCAGACTTGTCCAACTATTTTGCTCTTTGACCTTTTGGGGATAACTACTACGATTTATTTTTAATGCAATATTGATGTATTACCTTTTCAGTGCTAATTCTGACATGCCAAGGTGATATTGTCCTGCTCACTTTTTAGTCTGTGTAAAATTTTTATTTTATTGGAAAAATATTTTCGGTTTCTATTATATTTGATCCTGCTGCTTTGAAATTAAGTATTGCTTAACCAGGTAAGTTAACCGCTCCATCTATGTCACCTCCCAGCCTGACACACCCCACCTCTTATTTTTTTACTTGCCAGTTTTCTGCACTTGACAGATCTGTTGGCAATTATACAATAGCTGACTGAAGCTGTGCTGATAATACTAGTTAAACTTAGAACTCCTTCCTTACAGAGATGGAC